CCTTGAATCTTGTGACAAATCATTGGAAGTTCATAAAGAAACAGGTGTGATTTTCCTCCAATAAAACTTCAATTATAACAAAATAGGTCGTGGGCTGTATTTGATTTGCTAAACTATAAATACTTTTATAAAATTCACACAGTCAGTATTTCTCCATTCTAGAAAAACACCACATCTTTTGTATCCATTGCTAAGTTGATAGGCAGTTGGATGTTTTCCAAGATTTAGCTATTACAAATTGTGCTGCTATAAACATGGGTGCACATATATTGCTTGGTATGATGTTTTTAATTCTTCAGGGAAGATAGCCAGAAAGGGAATAGCTGGATTAAACGGGACTTTTAAACCTAGTTTTTTGAGATAGTTCCACAGTGATTGTACCAATCTACACTTCCACCAATGGCGGAGAAGGGTTCCTTTTCCCCACAGGCCCTCTAGCATTTGTTTTTGGTTGTTTTCTTGATTACAGTCATTCTTCTGGTGTGACATGGAATCTCAGTGTTGTTTTAATTTGTATGTCTCAAATGATCAATGATGTTGATTTGCCATTTGTATTTCTTTAACTGAGAAGTGTATATTCATCTCAGATACCTATATGGATGAAACTTGGGACCATACTCATAAGTGAAATAAATCAAAGTCATATGTGTAAACAACATATTGTCTTCTGATATGAGAACGTGAGAAAGTAAATAAGGTCTAAAGTGGATAAAACAGGAAGAAATTTTTCAAGAGGAAAAGGAACTGGTGTGGGGGAAAGAGAAAAGGAACAAAGGGAAAGGGAAAAAAAAGGAAATTCTAGTGTCTCGTAGGTCTCTTAGTTAATTGAAAAGGAAAATTTGTGCTAACATTGGTTGGAGAAATTTTTATGCCCATATCTTGTATTCTGAACAACTATTTAAAGATAATAACATGCAATGTATTAACTATTTTATTCTATATTTTATTTTTTCCATAAAATAAAATGAAAAATTTAAAAAAGAAAATATGTGTAAAAGTCAAAGTTTGCTTTTTTAGAGACACATTTTGATGATATTAAACATTTTAAATAAGATACATACATGTCGAGTTACATAAATAGATATACATAATGATTCAAAGAATGTAGTCATGTGCTGCACACATAGTGTAATAAAAAAGAAAAAAAATTTCTAGCTTTAGAAGGGTAGCTTTCTAGCATAGAAGGGTAAAACATATTAAGTAGTAATGATCATTTTTTAATTTACATGCTGCCATTTCTAATGTATAAAGAAAAAGTAATTTAATCACATTTAAATTAATTTCTTTAGATTAAAAGAAATGCTTAATGAACTTACAAATATGAACAAGTCTGAGAAAAAATAAATATAATAATAAAGTATAATGTCCAATTTTCTTTAACTATTCTATATATTGAAGACCTCATCTTTTCCTATGACTCAGCAATTCATTTGTGGAAATGCCCAAATTTCTACCTGCCATCCTATGTAAGCTACCTCTGTTGCCACTTCTCTATATTTCATACTTAGGTTTTTCCACTTGGCTACACTGCCATGGTTTCAACTGTGAAATGCACAAAACACATTTTTCAAAATTAGCTCTCACTTTGAGGCCTCAGAATATGCAGCAATGGAATTATTCTCAAGCTGAAAATAATGGAGTTAAAAAATCACATTCACTTTTGACTCACTTCCACCATTCCTTCTACTGTTTGCCACCAAGTCACATTTTTCACTATTCTTAAGCTCCAATCCATTCACTTTTGCCCATTTCCACTACTGTGGTTCCAGTCTGAGCTTCAGTTACACTGTCAGTTCAGCAGCATCTTCGCTGGCAGCCAGGCCCCTGTATCTTATCCTTCTAATTTATTCTGCACATGCTGACAGATAAAACACTGCTTTTATCAGGTTCTTGCTCCCGCCACTTATCGGACAAAGACTAAAATACTGACTCTGACATTTATAGCTCCTCTCCACAAAAATCACCCTGGGCTCCAGCTCACATCTTTGGAGCCTCTGTCTCTCCAGTTTTCTGTGAAGATATTTATTGCTTTTCTTACTTCAAATGCCTGACTTATAGAATTGATCCCATTTTGTATTCTCTGTTTTTTATTTTTCTATTTACCATAATAAGATGGTACAAGTCAAGTTCCAGGTGATCTTTTAGGTCTTTCTTAAATTCTTTAGTTTTAAATGATTGGTTTTGCAATTGATCAGTTTTAATCTTTAACTTCCATTTGTTGGGTGGTTAATAATCACCTAATTTTCCTAACAAATGTACGCTGCATGATATGAGTATCTTCATCCTTTCCTATCACTCAGGGTTTCTACAGAGTCTTCTATACAATCACAGTTGAATAAGTAGCTGGAATTAGAAAGTTCAATTTACTAGGTAGGACAGAGATATCTAATCTATAATGTTTTCCTGACTTAGTTAATGTTTACTACCCAATTATTTTAATCATTAAAAAAGAATAAAATTTTCTTTTAGTCTCTGGCCATACAAAGATCAAAGGTGGATTTTGGCAGGTTAATCATGTAGAATTTTGAAAATAGCCATAAACATAAAAGCAAAAAACTTTTGCCTTTCTGTCATTAGCAACATATATTTTACTCCATTCATGTTCTCGAGAAATATAGGTTCTAGGAAGAAGAAATCTCTATCTACTGAAACAACAAAGAAGAATCTGTCTACGTATGGGAGCGAGAGGGAGTCTTCTGAACACTTTTGTGCAGAAATTACTTTTTACAATGCATCTTCCTCTTCCCAACAGCCTGAAAGTGCATGGCTGCTTCAGACAGTCTAGTAAGTATACGAAGAATAGGAAGCATCATTTTAAGGTGAAGGAGAAGCAACCGGTAAAAAGGAGCAGAAAGGAAGCAGAAGTAGCACCTTGGAAGCCAAAGACCCTTTTTCAAAGAGGGAGAGTGTAAGAATACTGGATCCCACCACCCAGTCACCTGGGTAGAGGGACGAATTGAGGTTTTCAGGTTTGAAAATGAAAAGGTCAATAATAATCACCGAAAGGACAGTTTCTGTAAAGACAGCATATAAAATAAAACAAAAGGTCCATGTTACTATTCTTTTCTTTAATGCTTACTGTGACCTATAGTACAGTTTCACTGGGATAATGAATTAATAGGAAGGAGGAAAGAGTTGCCATTTAATGAAGACAGTGTGTACCCAGCGCTGTAAGAGTTCATTGTTTCTAGTCTCAAAGGCAGGAAATAAATCATCCAAGGTTATGTGCTGTTTGAAACAATTTGGAACTGAAGCTGTTTCAGACTTGTACTACCATATCTTTTATTTCATTTAGTGGTATTTTATACACCTTTAACTTTTTTTTACATATTTTAATTTTATCCTTTCATTTCTGGATATTATTTGTGCCTAGATCATAGAATGAGAATTGGAATAATCTGAGAAGATAATTTAGTCCAAACCTTTCTTTTTCTTTTCTCCTTTTTAGTCTAAATGAACTGAGATCCCAAAAAATGAAGGTGTGAACAAAACCTACATTACGTTAGTAAGAGAATAGAAACTAAAACCTGTTTACTGATTCTCAAACACATACCCTTTTCTTTATACGCTATGCAGAACCCAAACTGTAGACAATGTACACGTTTCAAGGAAGAAGTTGCAGTGCTTGACAAGAAAAGATGTTGTATCCCTCAGTTTTGTAAAGAATTGTTTGAAGTGGAGAGAACAACTTGCATTTTATATGTCTTAGTGTCTAGACAGAGTTCTTTTTTACCTAAAGTTGATGGTGGAAGATGCACAATTATGTATTTTTCAAAATTATGAAGAGAAATAAAATACTAAAGATCACTAGGTAGTTGATATTATTTATGAAATAAATTTCATATTTCAAATGCAGATTTATAATATGAAGGTTATAAAAAAGAAGAGCTTTTAATCCAAAAGTAATTTTCTCCAAAGTCATTCTTTAAGCTGTTCAGATCAAATGAGTAACAATTAGATTCTGTTTGAATTATTTAGACTTTGTATAACCATGAAATATAAAACAAATAACAAATTAGGAAAGAAAATAAGTTCTCAAAGTTAAAGAAACGTAGATACACATTCAGTTGCACAATAAGCTACATTTTATGTGTTTATCAAAACTATATTATCATGCTATAAAAGTCAGCATGAATAAAATGAAATCATATATTCTCAAAGATGGAATTTGCTACATGTACTATACAAGCAATATATTACAAAACTTGGAATTTATTTCCTGTAAAATCAGTATATAGTTTTGGTAAGAGAGAAACATTTTAGTCATATTTCTAAAGAAATACATATTTCATAGTACAATGACAAAACCCAGTTCACATTTTGCAGTTTTTGAGTAAACAGATCTGACAGTTAAAATAAGTAATAAATATTATGAGGGTCAAAGGACAGCCATAGCCACATTAGTGTAAATATAAATAAATAAATAAATAAATATATAATTTACACACACACACACACACACATATATATATATATATATATATATATATATATATATATATTTTTTTTTTTGTACCGGATTGAACTCCAACCTCACGCTTGCCAGGTAGCAACTTATGCTGCTAAACTAAATCCCCGGCCTTATACAATTACATTATGTTGCATGTATGCATAATACTTACGGGCAAGGACTTATGGCTTTTATTGACTGTTAAGATAGCATGTAAATGTTAAAAACTATGTTGGTCTATAAACCAATAAAGAAAGTGAAAGGAAGTTTCAGTGTACCACCTACTGACTATACCTAAAATCTTAGTCTAAGTTTTTTTGAGACATACATTAGAAAAAAATTCACTAAGGTTAAAGCTAAAGAACAAAATTTACAGAGACAGTTTCTGTGTTCTGGTGTACTGCTCTGGTGTTTGAGTCACAACAGATTGCCACAATTCTTCTTTGTTTGCTAAACATGTTGTCAATGGGATGAATGCACGAAAACAGTGGTTAACATCGAGACGCTGGGGAAATGAAAAGCCAGTTATCTGAGGAACGGGGCTTCTCACCTCTTGCCTGTCTCCCAGGCCCACAGCCTTCCTGTGCTCCGGGGATGTCCTGCTGTACGCTCCAAGGAACCAACTGGCACCTTCGCCACTTATGAGTCTTCCACCTACAATGCAGAGACAAGAAAAATGTGAGGCAAATCACAGAGACACAGCCACATCAAAAATGACTTTGGCCACTGCAAACAGATTACTATTTACCTTTAATTTAGATATTCACTAGAGTCTTCTAAAATAGGAAAATGAAACATAAAAGTACTTTACATGGGCTTTAAAGTCAGGGAGCATCATCACCATGTTGTATGGGAACAGATTCTACGGAGAGAGGCAGAAGACAGAGATTTCATGGTTCAGATTGCCAGGAGATGCAGCAGATAGTGCTGGAAGTGTTGCACTCCATTTAAGGAAGCTGTGTTCATTTGTGTTTAAGTTATAAAACTGCATTGAAGTCATGAGTCTTTTGTATAGTGCTCTTTTGATTAGCACTGTAGGAGTAGCTCAGCCACTGGAATTATAATACACTTTTACAAAAGCAAATTCCAAAAATAAGTGAGTTTGGACTAATCATTGACAATGTTTATGGCTTGAACATATAATTATACTGTTTGCCATCTTAGAAAGACTTTTATTAAGATGACAAATTTGCTATCTATTTCAACTTAAATTATTATTTCCTGATTATATGTTCTATTAATTGATGCCAGTTATTTGAGTTGTCAAGATTGCAGTTAATGTATATAGTATGAAAGTTTCAATTAGAACAGTTGTAATGGTGAAGAAGCCAAATTTCTCTAATAAATTATCAAGATGATACACAGCTTCAATAACTATAATTTTCTTTGTGATGACCACAAGTAAACAAAATAGATAACGATGTAATTTCCTGAACCAGAAGACTAGTATTTATGAGAAACAGGTGCTTTCTGGAGCCAAATGAGAAGTGCTCAGGCTATTCTACTAAGTTAAAAAAAGAATTGGACTTGAAGCATATGTGTTTCGTAATTATTAACCATTTTTCTGCATCTTACAACTGATGACAACATAAGGTATTTCCCCCAAATTACTGGAGCTACAAAGGCTGCTGGGAACTTCATAGAAGCATCTGTGTCCTTGGAGACACGTTCAAGCTCTCTAAGTAGAGGCCAGAGATGGTAGCTCCTGCCATACACATCTCCAACTCTAGTGAGCCTATGGGAGGAACTGTCCTGGGTTCTGTTGCTTGTAGTTTGATGGGATTATGGCCTGGGTCTTTTTGTTACCTGTAGCTTTGACAAACTTGAGGGGACTCGCAAGCCTTCTCTTCATAGAGGGGATCCGTGCAGTCTCGGCCTCCATTGGCTGGCACCTGAAGGATGACTCGATGTCGAGACTGCTTCATGACTCTGGAGCGCCCTGGAATTAGGTCGTTTTTTAACTTCTGTACTTTACACCGACAAAAGAGCTTGCAAATACTTGTGAACTGAAGAAATACTGTCTCCAGAGATACGCTTTGACATCACTGAATGAGAGGGGTCATGTAGTCTGATTGTTACTAACTTCTCCCAAAGACCGATTATACTAAAAAGCCAACCAATTTGTATTTTAAAATGTGAAGAATGGAGAAATAATTCCACAGTCTACTCATCTTCTTAACATGCAGTTTCAAAATAATTGCTCTTTCGTATATTTCTTTCCCCTTGAGAAATATGACAGATCTAATTAAATTATATTCCTCTACCTAAGTTTATTTTCATGCCATTTCACAGAGCCCTGTTTACCACATGGGACTCATTCACATGTAATGAATCTTCCTTAGGAGGATATAGTCAATGTTATAATGTGAAATTTTATCTCTTGTTATTCACTTAATTTGAAATGCATAACTTGTAAATTATTCCAGTCACTTAGTATTCATGTTAAACAGCCTAAGACCTTCAATTCAGGTCACATTCTAAACATCAGAGGTGTATGTAGCAAAATGAAAATAATTTCCTAGAGACAGATTTATTTTTATAGAAGCAGTTGAAAGTAACAATAATTACTACGAGTAAATAATGCCAAATTATCTTCAAAAATGGAAAAAGGTTTACTTCCAATGCAGACATAATCACTTTGACAATTATTGTCGATATAAAGGTATTCAATATTTGGTAGGCAGAAAGAGATGTATAAATTTGCCAATTTTAATAAAATATATTTCTATTTTTAAGACTAAATAGCAACATAGTATGGTTTCATTTACAAATATTTTTGAAGAATTATGATAGCAGATAATGTAACACCTGATGTACTTATATTCTTTTGCAAAATTATTTACTGTTTGTTACATAGGATCCAAGAAACTAAAGGGTTAGTAGCCCACAACATTAAACTTAATCAGAAATAAAATGAAATAGTTTTAAAGCTATTATGGTTGTGGAACAATGTAATTTGATAATTAAAACTTTTCCATAATAGAACACCCTTTCTCATGATGTCAAGAAATCCCTCCACATGCTAAGGGGAATTTAACTGAACCATGTTTAGACAGAATTCCTGTGTTAGATAGGAAATGGATCAGATTAGTGATTCCTGAATGTCTGACTACAAAGGAGAACCTTTTAAAACACAACAACAGATTTCTAGGCCTGAATAAATCAGAAACCTTGAGGGCTGGATTTGGGTAGCTCACTTTCAAAAACCCTGCCAGGTAACTATGATGAAGAACCAGTTTAACGTTCTGAGTCACGTGTAATATTTTTTTGGCTTATTCTCATCATAGGGGACGAGAAAGCTACACTATTAATGATTATGTAAACTACTTTCCTGAATAATTAGAACACTAAAGGTGATGGAATGGGGAGTTGGGGGCTGCAAATAATGGCAACAGAGAATTAAATTATTTGAAAAGAGTGTCGTGGACTTTACATTGTCACAACATTAGTTTGATGCCAGATTCAACTTTACATACTTAATATGATTCATCAGGGAAGATCTAAGATATTGATTGGAATTTTAATAAATTGATAATGCAGTCTCCATCCTTTATATTCTCCAAATGACTCTCCTGCTTTTTTTAAAAAAAAAATTATTATTTTTATCTCTTTCTTCTGCTTTGGGTCCCAGGTAATAAGTACCTTTAATGATTCAGGAGTAGGAAACATTTTGTTTCCCTTGATAACTTGTTAAGAATCCATTACAGCTCCATTTTTTTCCTTTCCTCACTAGAATCTCAGAGCTAATATTCTCAAATGCAGTAACTTAACTTTAATTTTCTATTACAAGCTGTTTTTCCTCTGTCCTCTTCTTTACTCCCTTATCTGCTACCCGCCTCCATGAGTTTTTAAAATTTCTATTTTTTGTGTTAGTTATTTAAAGATTACATAAATTAAATGGCTATTCTCACTGTTTGCTTAACACTGGGGAAAGGAAGGAGAGTTTCATTTCTTTTGCAACCGGGAAAAGATCACAAACACCTGGGCCTTTGTTTTCCAAAAGGCCTGACTTTTTAGAGGCAGTCAGTTCCCAGTCTTCCTCAACTTGCAGATACAAATCAGACATGGAGTTGATATCAGGGATCAGGGACTGAAGGGACTATATTTTGGGCATCAGTGATACTTCAGAGACTGAGGTGTCTGGTCACTAACCACATACGTAAATGTCACTTGGTGAATAGTCAGGAGTGTTCCATTTGGAAAGAGCAACAAAATTTTAGTATTTCAATTCTATTGGTTTTATTTCTTTGAAAGCAATGCGTCATTAAAGTAAACTCTGAATCATCCTGTTAGTGCTTTTTTATCACAGACTCCACAAGTTTGTGCTCAGGATGAAAGGCCATGAGTACACCTTGTGCTTTCTTAATTGATCCCACAATGGCAACCCACAATAGTCTCATAAAAAGTTCAGGTTCTTTGACCTTGTGCAGCTCACAGTACTCAGATTGTGACCTGAGTAAAGCAGACTGCTTCAAAACCACAGCACCTAGATAGTAAGCTGAAGGCTATCACATAGGAAGTGTCATGACAGCCATGTCTCCACTGCCTGAGAGGTCACTCTCTTCTTAGATCTCAAGTAATTACCTGTGTGTTCAGAGTAACAATACTATAGAATTCAGTTAGGTTAAAGAGCTTTCAGACCAGAGGCCAGGCAAAGGGAAATCTGCAGCACACACTTAAAAAGGAAAATGGAACTGTTTCCCCCACAATTTTCTGTATGTATTTATACTCTACTTACAGTATGTGGTTAACATACACATGGGGTGTCCATTTAACTTTGTGTTTTAACACCTAGCATAGTAGTCATAGATAGATGTATTTAATAAATATTTACTGAATGAGCAGACACATTTATTTCACATTTTCTCCACTGGATTATTACTATTTTCTTTTGTTTTTGTATGCATTTCTTTAAAGTAATAAAAATCTGGGTACTGTATCTGTGCACTGAAGACTGAGAAAATTATCTTTTTTCCCTCACTGAAAATAATGGGGATATGAAAAATAAAGGCATCCATTGTTGTGCTTATGTTTGAAAATACCAATCAAGAATTGGAATTGTAAAAAGGGATTACATATCCAGAAAATGATTGTGTGACATAGCACACACAGATTCAGAGGATATAGTATCTGTAAAACAGTTATAGTATTTTTTAGATATCCTAAGACATTTGAGTTAATTTTCACTAAAGAAATTATCTGATGGAAAGATTTAATGGGTAGATAAAGATTTCTTAAATTGGAAGCAGGTTAAATGGCAGGTTGGAGTAGCACAGTGAACAGGATATCGAAAAGGAAATAGGTCGTATAAGAACAAAAATGTAAAGTCAGTTTTGGGATCTTTAAGGGCAATCATGTGTATGGCTGACTGATCGGATGAGGACAGAACATTGCCCTTACAGTATTTGATCAAGAACTGGGTGATTTAGCTCCTGCCTTGCAAGCAGGCAGTTGTGAGTTCGATCCCTGGTACTGATAAAAAGACAAAATAAATAAAAAAACTAAAAAAAACAATATTTGATCAAAAATATTGATTTTTTTCAAGATTAGAGTTATAAGTAACTTCTATGTCTAGATGATTTCTATTTTTGTGTCTTTTGTTAAAATTTATGAAAAAAATTTAAAAAGTTAATGAGCATACTGGCTTGAAGGTCAAATGACATTCTACTCAGTATAGATCTTTATCGACATTGAATTTTCAAGATATATTTGGCGAGATGATTGAATAAAATTTCAAATAACTTTCTGCCATTGTAAGCTATTCAATTTCACTTGTTTCAATACTACAGTGTAATTTTACCTCTTTAAAGTGATTTTACAAGGGAGGATAGTGCCATATTTTAATAAATTTGAGGTGCTTATAAAATTTACACTTAATCTACAGGAGTAAGAAGAACCACCTTATCCTTAAATTAATTTTTAATTGCTATTATATCTCCTTGAAAGATAAACCTTGTTTAGCACTTTTTAAATGTATGTGAAAGTCAGTGTAATTTCAGTGACACTGGCTTATTCCCATTTCTTTCCAAATACTGGGAAAAGAAACCTCATGCATTGTTTTATTCTCTTTGGCATAACAAAAAACTAGCTTTTTATGACATTTTGATTCTTTATTGTCAGTTACAGACCTCTACCAATCAAATCAAAAGCACTTCTTCAGGAGCACAAAATACCTTGCGACTGCTACTCAACAACAACGGCCTCTTCTATCACCCGCCCCACATTTTTCACTGCTTCAACACCCAATATCTGTTATTCCTTTTAAATCTGAGTGAATAGGTTTAGGGTTTGTTGCCATCTTGCCGAAGTCTGATGTATTCTTCAGTGAGGCTTTGGGAAGGGCCTGTGGATAATGTACTCACCAGCAAACTCATGAGTTCAGTAGCCTAGCTTGCCGTTTGGAGGTGGGGTCTGGTGTGAGGTGGACAACTAGGAGAGAGACCTGGAGAGGTGCATTCCTGTGCATGCCTGTTCCCTTCATTCTCTGCTTCCTGTACACCATCACACAAGGGAGGAGCTTTCCTCCACTAGGCCCTTCTACCATGAAGTTTTTGGCAAGTATAGACTGAACTCATTGAAACTCTGAACCAACATAAATCCCTTTTTGGTTAAATTGTAGATATTAAGTATTTTGTGCTAGTAATGGGAAAGTGATTAATACAGGATTGCTGAAAATACATTGTTCTAGGTTTAAGGATTCAACATAGGGCTGCCAAATAATACAGAAAGGTCTGATCTTTTCCTGGTGAAATGATGTTTGCTCAGCCAAACAGAACCTTACTTCTCAGTGTCTCTGGCTTCTAAGAGAGCATATTCCCAATTTGGTGTTTTGACTCCTAGGCCACCACCACCCCAACAACGAATAGTCTCAATAATGTCACCATGTGCTTTTTCTTACAGCAGTACTTGGCTTCCCCCAAGAGACCAGTTCAACTAAACTCATCATACTTCACATATTTGTGACTTAACACAAATTATCTAGCCTGCAATTCTTCTGTTGTCTCTTAGTTACACAGCACTACACATCTGCAAACCTAATGCAGTTTTTCATTTCTCTTCATCCTTTAACTCTTCTGTCATTGCAGCTATCTGGAACATATAATCTACTGTCTTCAATCTTTTAGTGAAAAATTTCTTTTGCCAGTGGATGCTGGCTCCATTTAGCCTTTATCCCATTCTTTTTTTTTTTTTTCCTTTCTTTTTCAGCCTTTAGAAATCTAGTTCCTTTAAGTTCCTGAAATTAACTTTACTATCAGCTATCTACCTTGTAGCAGTCACCTTGATACATCTTATTAATTAGTGACCTTAGAACTTCTGTTACTGTAATACTTCTCTTCACCCCTACGATGACTTTGGTTATCTTTTATAACCATATTTTTTTTAATTAAAGAGAAAGAAAAAAAAAACAAAAAAAGGGTAGAAACAATGCAAAATTTCAGAAAAATAAATAGTAAGAAATCACCAGTTGATAAGCTACGTACCATCATCTTAGAAATAGTTGCTTGAGTTACAAAATTAAAGTATACAAAATGATATTCAAATAATGACACTGCAAACAGTTATGCTCAATGATCCAACAAGATATTATTATTCTATTCAGGGCACTGGATTTTGAATTAAACCTTTTCCTACCCAATAGTTTTCTCTTGTCTCTATCAGTCCTCCACTCATCTTTGGTTGCTTTTATCTTCAGCACTGTCCAGTCTTATCTTCAAATATCTTACTGTCTGCTTAGCCTTCCTAACTTTCTGGTTCATCTTCTTTAATCCCATTCTTACTAGAATTCTATGAAATATCAAGCATACATAAAAAATAATAAAATCTGAAAATATATTTCATGTTATAACACTTTTAATGGAGTGATGAATAACCAATCATTACTGTAGAAATACTATTCAAAGGTATAATGCTATTGTTGATTGTAAACTCACTGAATAAACCATTTTACTGAGTCATTCAAGAAAATAAAGGAATAAAAGAAAAACTCTTGAAAAAGGCCAGACAATGACCTTGTCTATTAATAATTTTAGGCCATTAAAAAAATTTAAAGGTAATGGTTATAATTTCTTTGTTTTCCTAATAGCTATGGAGATCCTTAAAAGACTTCTAATACAAAAAACGGATATTCTTGCACAGTTTGTGACTTAATTTTATGTGATACTTCAAGGGCATTCAGTAGAAAAAAATCTAAAAAGATTTCAATTATATAAAATGTTAAGTTGTTAAAACAACATATTATTTAATTTGTGTAATCCAGATGATTTAAAATTTTTTTTTAATTTTTTGTCTTTTTCCTTTTTTTATCAGTACCAAGGATTGAACTCACGACTGCCTGATTGCAAGGCAGGAGCTTATGCCGCTAAGCTAAATCCCCAGCCCCTAGATGATTTAAATTTTTGCAAGTTAAAATATCATTCGTTAAACTAGAAGTTGGTTCTTGATTCATTCTCTATAGTGAGAGTCAAGAAGCATGAATAAAGTAAAAGCATAAAGAGAATCAAAGAAACATTGTATTTATTTGCTGGGGGAGTGAAATAAGGTATAGACTGCCATCTGTGGCAGAGAGAGAAAGTTGCTCATTTATGGCAATAGCCACCTGAAAAGTGTGGATAACTTTTTCTTAAGCAATAAGAAAAGACTTTGCTGTAGAGCGTAAGGAAAGAACTATGTAGGCTTTTGCCATGTGTCTTGGTAAGTTACAAAAGCAAAACCAAGCCAAAACGGGTACAAATACTCATCCCGTAAATGTCTCATGGCACATTAAGTGTTGGCAGAGAAACAATCTGGCCATTTTTCTCTTTCCTTTATTCTCATTATGGGGCTACATAATTGAATTGGTAGCAAATCTGGTCCCATGCTATTTCTTGCCAGTAAGCAGGCTGAAAGGCTTGGGTACTAAAATTAGCACTGTATATTGTTTTTAAAACACGGAGGACTAATAGATATTTTAATGAATCAATATAAAAGGGGAAATGGCAGAGAGGTGAGCAGCAGAGAAAGAACTTCTCCAAATTTTGTTGTCCAGACACTGGAATACAGCAACATGAGGAAGAGAAGGAGAACACACGTGGGTCCTGTGAGCACAGGAAGGATCTGAGATTAGAAGCCCATGGAGAGAGATAATTCAGGAACCCAGCAAAAACAAGAAAACCCAAAGCAGTGATCCTGCCAGGTAGGGAGAAACAGAAAGGGGATAGCAATATGCAACACAGTAACGATTGTGGATTTCCTACTGTCCTATCACTGTTTTTTCGTTTGTTTGTTTGTTTCATTTTACTGTTCTGTGTTACTCCCTTTAAAATTAAAAAAAAAAGTAAAGGTAAACATTATTCATATAATAAGGTATAATATCCTTTTATTTTAATTGATATGATACAACTTCAAGTTAGACTTTGGCATAAAACTTACCCGTTGCTCTAAAACAATGTTACTTTTAAAGGGAAATCAAAATTTTATGGTACTCGTGCTTATTTAGGATTACATAGTTTGTGTACATTCACAAATATTGCTCAGGCAGAAGAATTTGGAAGTTCTAAGGAGTGCACATTTTAGGTGAGAGCTTTCAGAACTCTGCAAACCATACCTTCTTTGCATGAAGAGGGGCATGGTGTCCAGTCACTGTAGGGGGTCACAATGCAGTCTTTTCTGCAAGGAAGCAAACAAGGCCTCACAGTTTCAGGCCGAAGGCTTTCAGGACACCTAGAAAAAGCAAAAGGACACTATTTGTCCTCTGTAGTTAGGCCAGAAAACTAGATAACTTTAGAATTTTTATTGGCAAAATTGCAAGTTACCAAATTATATTTAACTTCCAGTAACCAACTGCTATTCTCACAGATCTGTTCTTTCAAACTACCTCAACAGACATTTTAACCTAGAAGGTATAGATTTAATAGCAGCAACTGTGCTAGCTACTACAAAATATAACAACTATACTTTCTCACCATTTAATAATCTCTCCACTAATAAATATATTAACAAATATTTTAATGTGCTTTATAAGAAATTTTGTGGTATTCAGATTGCCAATTTAAGGATCCAATTCTAGATCTTTGTATAACTAAATAGGCCCTCTGCTTGTTGGAAATCTACAAGTTATTTTTAACAAAAGTATTTTAACAAAATATGCTTAGTATAAAATGAATCTATATTGGAGTATATTGTTTGCACAGCACATGTTCAAAAACCAATAATGTATCAGTAGCTGTATACTCCACAATAAATCATAACACAGTAAAAATGCATATGTCATTACAATAAATAATTTTGACTTTTTCTTGGTTTTGTTTAGAGTACCATTTTTTCTTCAATTTAAAAAGTAGCAAACAGGATTAAAAATACCATATGCCACATGGGTGAAGCTACATTTTTTGGAGGCCAAAATAAAATGTCTCTTATCAAGTAAGTTAATTAGGTTTACAAACTGAACTATGAGTGAAAGAAACAAGTATCATTTCCTATTTTTCATAATGTCTTTATACTATTTAGCTGATACTTTGTTTTTGGTACATCTTATATTTAATTATTTATCCACATGCCATTTCTCACATATAAATACAGTGCTTTACTTAATTGTATAGTTATATACTTGCCTCTCTTTAAAACATTTGGATTTATTTGATTGTAGATTTAAAAACATATAGGATTCAATATTTTAATAGGAAACAATCTCCTTGGTTTATGTTGAGGATATACTTGGTTTCTTTTTCATAATTGCTGTGACTATTCAAAGTTGTGAGTAACAAAAAAATTCGCATGTGAATCAAAAAATCTAACAAATTGCTAAAATATATATTATGAATCACCAGAATTATAATTTATGTTGATTTTTTAAACCAAGGATCAGTCTGCAGTAAAATCTCATTTGTTATCCAGTTAATTCTTTTGGGATTATGAAATTATTGGTGAGTAATTATTATTGAATTATTATTGAATATTATTATTCATTTTCAATAAGGCAATTTTATAACAGTAACAATGGAAGGGTATCATTTTATTGCATGCTCTTCAAATATTAGCCCAGAATAAATCAATAGGATTTACAGGGTTATCATTAAAAACCTTCAAATATTATGTTTTACTTTACAAATAGCCTCAGCAAGATACTTGGTTAACTGTGGAGAACAAAATCACTAACAACAAAGTCATTAAATGAACACACAAAGATGAATTATACAGCCTCAACCACATTCAATAAAATAAATTCAGACTTCCTTTGGTGAGGCAATTGGTTCAGTCAACACGCTCCTTTTCTCCCTTGTACTGTTTGTATTTAGTGTTTATGGTTTAAATCAAGGAATTGATTTTTTTTTCACAAATCTTATTCAAGGTCAAATTAAGCAGAAGTGATAGGAGTTGAAGTTTGTTACTTGGAAGGATAGATAAAATCAATAACATTGATTTTACCATTGCACGGTAATCTGTTTTATTAGGAGGAGCTTAAAACAAGGTTTCTATTTGTGTTGTTTCAAATGACCAGTATTGGAAGGCATTCGCTGAATTTAACCTAGCATTCAGAGAAAAAGGCAATGATGTTGTTGTGTTTTTTTTCTGAACTAATGATGTTTGCTTAATTTTCCAAAGTTTTAAGGGCAAAGTCAAGCCATCTGATTTCACCAATCTACAGATGTATCCAGGTTATTTAGTAAAGGCTGAAATGGAAAAGGGAGTTTTAAATGGATAATTGTCGGGGTTCTGATGTGGAATTAGGGATGCTCTTCTATTGAATGCTTTAGTGATATTAACACAACAGCCTCTTCACACATCGGTTTGTATGCATGCTCATTCATCAGCCAGCAAAAATATTCAATGTCAACTTTTAAGAGGTAATTAAATATAGAGCAGAGTCACAATGATTGTTCCTGTAGAATGGTATAACAACCTTGATCTCCACCACAAGAAGTTGGCCCTGCGCCCCTGAAGTGAATGTTTCCTGTAACTTCCACTCCTGCTGTTACCCTTACTGAATTTTAATATAGTGCCCAATAATTTCCTGAGTCAAATTCATCACAAACTTAGTATAATTTCCATTAAAATGTTAGTTCGTGGCTACTTATTGAGCATATGAAATGAGTTCTCAGTTCATTAAAATAGTTTAGTATACATTTTCTAATATGTTTTTCAAGTTGCAAGTGATAGACACAAAATATGGGGCTATGTTTAATGTCTGGTGCTCTTAAACAATAAAAATGACTTGCAATGGGATCCTTATTCATTTTCCCTGGAGTTTTCAAAACATCAGATTACTTACTTCCATTTTTTAGAAACACTACGAAGTGTCTTAAATTCTCATGAGAAAATAGTGATCTAACATTTATTGAATGATTACATTGATAATTTTTCCATTAAATGCTTTCAAGAGACTGAAAATTGAGGCCAGAATTAATCGGGTACCATGCGTAAGAGCACACACAGTAATCAACTTCTTGATTGGCTATTGGGAAATAGAAGACACGTGAAGTTGATTGGTTTTACTTTTCATGTTTCATATGACTAAAATGATTTAACTGATTCAGAATTAATGCTGCTTCAATTTAAAAACAAAATAAAATAGGCTTTTGCATCTCAAAAAGAAAGCTTTCAGATTTAATTTATTGATTTTCTCTCAGAATCAATTATTCCAGTTATGTCATTACTTGTCTTTGTTGATATTTATCGCAAAGCACATATAATATACTAACTCTCTGGTTCTTTGTTCTTCCCTCTAGCAAATCATCTGCCTTGATATTAAAGTATTTGTAACCACTGTGAGAAGGTGAGAATTTTTCTACTTATCATGATAGTCATCTTATCCCAAGGCTGTCCCTTGGAAGTAAATGGCTTACTTATTTAACCACTGAAAGATATAAGTTTGGCTTCAGTGTTTTTGATAAAGTATCCTCTAGGGGAAATGAAAGGCAGATCATATAAGGCTACTACCCAATTAAAGCGAATCGGCAGCCTCCGTAGCCTACAGGTATATGGGAGGTCATGGATGACCTACATTGCCAGGACTTTCTATATTGTCATTATTGATCAGCCAGGCCTAGAGCAAGTACTTCTTTCATTGCTTCACCAGTTTAATAAAAGCAGGAAATGCTACTATAAAACAGAATGCAGCTACTAGAGAGAAAGAGTTTTATAGAATTTATGGACACCAGGCAGAAGATTCTGAAGTTGTTACAGCTTTATCAGCTGACACTCAAAACAAACAAATCTTACTCTTGAGGACAGGTATGACAGGAATCAGGATGCTCTCTTTCATAAAGCAAGTGAAGCCTGGGCCAATCCTCCACATGGCCGAGAACAGAATTTACTGTTGTCACTGTAAAGCCCTTACTTTTTGGGTCCCACTTGGCCCACATTGACTCGCACGCAGATGACTTTTCTTGTCTGCATGCCAACGGAGCACGAGGCCTCCCCATTCCAAGCCGTAGTTGTGTTGAAAGATGACACTGAAGTGTCCTCTATGCACTGGCCCCAGGGACCAGTTTGCCAGTGGTACACAGTACAGGGATGCTCACTGCAGCTGCGTGTCTCTTGCAAAGCACTGATGTTTGGACAGCGAATTCCACCTATAAAAGTGGATAATGATAGTGTAAAAGCCAACAGGAACCTTACCATTCTCTGATCCTTGGGAATAACATGGCTAACAAGGAAGATACCTGCCATTCTTTAGCACATAGCATGTTACTAGCACACATTATAAATGAATCTTACCTTAGTTTAGCATAGTCTAGTTTAAAATATAAAACATATGGTGTACATTACATTGAAAAGAATGGAGGACCTTAAAGAGATAGGCTAATATTTTCCAGAGAAGTTGAATTCGAGGTACAATGAAGTCCGTATGATTGCCAAGCAGAAGAAACAGGCAAGCTGAGACTCTGTAGGTGAAGATAATTCAGTGAGGTTTTCAAACTTTAATTAATCTTACTTACATGTTTTGAAACAGTTTATTTTAGTGTGTTAGGTGTAAGAGTGACTAGCAACAAGGATGTTAAAATTGAATGATATGTTAGATCCTCCAGAGCATTAATAGAAAAGCCATCCTGTCATGAGCATATTCCTTTAAATCCAAGACTTCAGTGGTTGTGCAATGCAAAATCATTGTATGGTACCCAAATAAAAACAAATGGCTGAAAGTTAAATTATGATGCAATAACTTCTGCTACTGAAATAATTTTGTTATTGAAATAATTTTATAAAGGGTCGGGAATTTAGTTTAGTGACACAAACATGAGGTCATGAGTTCAATCCCAGCTACCAAAAAAAAAATAATTTTATATACCAATTGCATAGTTTATTAACATCACCCTTTTGCATATATTAAAAGGAAAAGCATTCAAAAACTGACTTTCAGAGTTCAAATCTTTTAAGTCACATTTAAATTTACACTTACAGAAGTCTGTTCTCCTACATAGTATCATCACTATGATAGCTGTGATATTGAAGGTGTTTTCTATATAGCATTTTTTAAATAGAGTTTTCCCTTGTCTCTGGAATTTTCTTCTAGGATACTGATCCTCTTTAGGTTTGGATGCTGCTGCACTCTTAATCAATCCAGACCCTGTTTATGGAAGTCTTACATGAAACTAGGATTTATCTTCCTTCCTTAGATGGCTGTTTATGCTGGTTTGTTTTTGGCAGAAGCAATGTAGGACTTCCATTTCCACCAGATTAACAGTGAAAGTCATAAATATAAGCAATGACAACTGTCACAAGGGTTCCATGACCACAGAGGTTTAAAATGAATAAACATAAGTGAAATAATTTCAGTGACACAGACTAAGACACTTACAACCTTCATCAATAGAATGTGGTGTAGAAATCTTTTTATGTGTTAGTCCCACCCTGCTACAAGTGCTTCGTATGTAGGGATTCATTTTGTGTTCACAGCTGTCAAATGAATTAAAAAATATTAACAGACTAAGCCCAAGACATCTAAATGGTGTGACAACTACTGGAAAGCTCAGTTTCTTACTATTATAATGTTTCTGATGCCAATTAGGAAAGTTAAACGTTTTACAGTGAGTAGAACTGGAAGGAATTAGTTGCTATATGACCCCAGGGTCCACAACCTGAGATGATCTTCAAGTATTTCTTCTCTTATATTTAAGAATATCTCTCTATTCAGCAAATAAATCAGTAGATGGTTTATGTGAAAACTTAATACCAATTTAGGACCCTTCACTCCTTACTGAATGCTGTCTCAATATCAGAATAACCTGAATTAAGCAGCCTTTTTTTTAAATGTTCCCTCCTTCATGAAGGTGAAGATATCTGTCACAATTCATATCCTGTCTTCCATCACTCAGCTCGGTGACCCTGGTTGCCCTGCAAAGAAGCTTAAGATTTGAATGGAACTGAGTTTTAAAGTAAACTAATTGAATTAGGGAGAAGAAAATGAGCATTCCTATTGCACATTCCCTGAGGCACTGGATTTATTCTCAATTGTAGCTTTTATATATATTCATATATAATCCCTTTATAAATTTCTTTATATATGATCCTAAAATTACTGAGCTACAAAAATACTTCTTTACTTATACTATTTTCACTGTGAATACAAGCATGCTATTTAAACTGCTATTTTTTAAGGCTATGAATTGTTTTTGACATTGCAATTGACTGGCTTTGGAAAAAAATGATACAAAAACAACCTTTTACAACATCAGCATAATGTGTCTTGGAACTGCAAGATAGCTGTTAAGTTTATAGACATAAAAGCTATTTATTTTCTTGCCCCAATCCCCATTAAAGCAACATCAGCATTTTGTATTTGATGTCAGGATCTTTGCACAGATAAGTCCCAATATGGTCTTAATTAGAACAACGATATGGCAGTTTTGGAAGTCTGGTTTGGAGCAGCAGTCAGTCACTGAAGCATCATCATGTTGTTTGGGGAATAACAGCTTGGTAGAAAAAAATATAAATATAATATTGAATATTATTTATTATTTATGGGAAGGTTTAATTCCATACATCTGAGAATATTTTCAGTGTACTGGAGAAATCATAAAATGTGACCTATGCAAAATTAGTAGTAAGTATATTTCTAAATATCTTCTTACATATAAAAATATATGTTTTTATGCTATTATAACTATTTAAGATTTTCTACATTTTATCACAAGGAAGGAATTTATGAGACCTTGGATGAAATTGTGCTATATAAATAAACATTAATGTTCATATAAAAATACCAACTATTATGTGAAACTTATCTTTTACAATAAAAAAGTGATTTTTTTCCCACCCCAGAAGTTCCTAAAAGCTTTCTTAGGATGCATTCAGTACAAGTCATACTATAGTGCCTTTTGTTCTAATATTTATGTTCTTACAATTCATCTGATAAAGAATCCTCCTCAAAACAATTCTATACATACGTATTGAGTGTGAAATTCAAGCTGTATACTTCAGGGAAACTATTAATTTGGAAATAGTGCCTGCTATATGTATATAGTGATAAGACAAGCATAAATCTGAGTATTAATCTACAGGAAATGTAACAATTATATTAAGAGAGGTATTTAGTGCAATTAGCACTCAAAAGAATAAGATTTTATTATGTTTTGGAGACTGAAAAATGTCTCCCACAGAAGGAGGCATTGAGATGAGTTTGGAAAGAGTAAAATTTTAAAAAGCAGAGGTCTTAGAAAGTAGAGAAGGAAGGGAGAAATTTATATAAACAGAAGAAAAAGTAAATAAAAACAAAGGCATGCAGACAGGTGTGACCTTAGCAATGGGCAATGATGGTACAGTTAATAACTGGTGCAGGGTAGAGCTCACATGGGAAAGTAAAGAGTGTCAGCCTGCTACTCAGGACAGTCTGCTGCAGCACAGCTCCCTGCTTCTCCCTTTCTCCTTGGGAAAGAGGTAGAAGACCTCCTTCTGTGGAGCCCAAATCAAACTTATGCGGAGGTCATTGGGAGAGATGGAAGAATAATTTTCTTTCCAAAGTCAACAGTGGAAAGATGAAGAAGTGCTAGTATTTACATAGAAAATAAAATATTGCATGTCTGCAGTTATATTATGGATCCAAGATTCTTTAAGTTCCTCTAGCAAATATTGGTGTTTCCTTATTTTAGGATTAACTGTGAAAGTTGAGCAAGTTAAATAGGAATATTATTTCCTTCCATGCTTTGCATTGTAAAACATGAGTTTTGAATATTATCAATTATTTGAGAAAGTGTGGCATAATTCTCTTTCAATCTGCATCTATTATCTGCATATATAAAGGAGGTGTAAAGGCACACTGGTATTTGATAAAGTTAGGTCAGGTCATTCTGAACTTTGCAAAAAAAATAATTTTTCATTTTTGGTTCTATAAGTATAATTAGCTACATAATGAGAAATAACAGTTTGTTATTTTGCTCAGTGAAAAACATTTTGAAAATAACGTTTTCATTTCTAAATGAAGTTTGTTGAAGATCTGCACAGGGGTGCAGAAAATTGATCAGCCTAAAAATCTAACATCAATTTTTAATTATGTGTTCATATTCAACACACTACTATCTATATTAAATATAAGCCGGACTTAATTAAGAAAAGACTGTGTTATTTTAGAATTCCCCAACATAACTTTAAAGTATCTTTTGGGACAAACCCTATAGTTCAGTTTATATAATATAGAGAATTATGTTGAAAAGTAAATTATCAGTCTTATTTAACCAGAAGTGGTAAGATACAGACATAAACACACATGCATGCACACACACATGATACATACCAACACAGATGCTTTTGTTAAATGTGAAAAGAATCATTCTTATCTTTTCATATCTCTATCTCTAGTGGCTGCCACTTGTGATTTAGTTTCTGAATGATACTTCAGTATGAATCATTTTATAACTATTTTTGTATATTGCTGCTATAAGATACATAATGTTATTCAACTTGGAAAGCAATTATGTAAGAAATTGTTTTTACTCTATTGTTATTATTTTAATTTATTTTAGTTTTGAGCAAATCTCCAAATTATAGTAAAATTAAGAATATAGTGTCAATAATTTTTTCCTGCATCATTGAGAAGTTGATGGCATAATACCCAATACCTTAAATACATTAGCACATATTTCTTATAGTCATGGCATTCTTCTGCACATGAACACACTCAGTATTACACATACATGCATATAGATATAGACATGTATGTCACACAAACATAGTAAGAAGACTGAGCACAAATTAGGATAAAACCAGTAACCAGATTCTTCTTTGTTTAGCATCAACAAGATTATATTCTTTGCATCTCCCTTGAAATTAAGCATGATTATGACTTGTTTCAGCATAAGATGCTAGAAATGACAAAAATCATTTCTAGGTGAGGAATTTAATTGCTACTGCTTAATCAGTAGATTCTATATGAATCTTCTTGCTTTGGCATATAGACTGACGATGTGCGTTTTCATAGGGTGGTAAAACATGGTGACATTTCTTAGAGGATAGACTGACTCCCTGAAGTGAGAAAATGTGTAGTTAAATTTCCTTGAAGAAGAAACTTCTATTCTTTTAAATTGGTGAACTCCTGGGCTATCTGTTAAGGCAACACAAGTTAGCCTTACAGTGCTAATCACATAAAATTATTTCATATTTATTATAAATTTAATGATGGCTTTCTGATCGGGATAAAGTATAGTCTTCAGAATTTGTAATATGTACTTTGCACATGGATTTATCCTATAAGGGATAATTTCATGTCTAAATACTCCACATGTCATTTTTCTACTTTGGCACTGTGGTATCCAGCAAGTGATAGTTACTAATTATATTTTGAAAGAAATATTCTCCATTAAATATTCAGATAATTATGTTTTTATTTGTGTTAATAACATAGACAAACAGCCACACATTCCCTATTGACAGTTTACAATGTCTTTTCTGTTTAAAGGTAGGTTTTGATTTTGTGCCCTTATGATTTATTATAATTTTCAGTACAGTTTGCTTATGATGTTACTAGACTTAATTAAAAATTATTGAAAGTCACACCTTTTCAAATTAAATGGATGCTATGTAACAAAGAGCAATCATAAATTTCTGCCTTTAAAAGATTTCATGACCTTTCAGTGTGAAGCATCTGGCCTGAAGAAATAATGAACTGGTGAGGTTTTTGCAAGCATAGCAAAATGCTTGGCATGTGAGTTGGGGTGAAAAGTCACTCATTATGAGTCACACAGCAAGTGTCTGCAGAGTGTAATAGATTTATGGGAAGCAGGGTGACCACAGATCTAATTTTAATGAAGCCCAAGACATAATCTGAGCTGACGGAATCTGAAGTCTGAATATAATCTATATGAGGTTAGAGTGATTGTTTGACAGCACAAGAAACATAATTTTCTCTCTGAAAGTTTACGCTTTTCAATAGATAATACATCTTTTGTAACAAAAGTTAAGTTTACATTAAGGTAACAGAAAATCATTTTCAGGCTCTAAAAAGAAAATTCTGAGTTTTCGCACATGCTGATTTTTTTTGGTAGTTTCTCTGTTTGATTTTGGTTCTGACTACACAGTTCAGATTTACCTTGAACTCAGTCTCTAGCCTCAGCTGGCCTCCCAATGATCCTCTTGCCTCGGTCTCTGGAGTTCTGGGATTATAGGCACATATCCCTATGCCTGGGTCATATGCTGATATTTTACATATAAAATTTTTGCCTCATGTTATTGTAAATACTCATATGTTAAGGCTAAGGTAAGTAATGTTTCATAGTTATTACAAACAAAAAAGGTTTGTTTAAAAAGAATATTATCAGCTAGGTATTACCAAACACTTTATAAATAGAAAAATAGAAAAGTTTCTGACCATAATAAATTCCCTTAAAATTGATTATTTGTAGTAAGCATGTAAAAATGTATGTTTACTGTATATGGAAATCACTATTTTTAAAGTCTAAATATGAATAAAAATAAAGGTGACTTAACTTGATGCTATTCAAATGATATGTCTACATTCTCGAGAAAGAAATTCTTTAAGGTGAACGTATTTGATTTACTGATATGTTTTCCTTACTCCTGTGTTATTTTCCAGAAAGACACAAGTGAGAATGGCATTATATAACCAAATCACTTGAAGGTGGAATTAGTGTTTGGCTATCAGTTTGAGAGACAGTTACCAAAAACCTTGAATTTCTTGACTACAAAGCTTGCAAATGAGGTATGAATATGTGATAAGCATGCAATTTTCACCCATAGGGTGAGGTGCTTTAGCAGCAATACGCTTTAAATTGAACGCAAGCTACATACGAAACATCTGGATCAGAGCCCCTGTCAGAAACCCAAAGGGGAGAAAATGCATACAATTTTCAGTCAAGCAGTAGTTATGCTCGTATTGATTTAAATGAATTTTCTTATTTGGATGTACGTGATTTTTTTTTTTTTTTTTTTTTTTTTTTTTTAGATAGAAGACTGAAGTTTCAAAGGACAAAACTACTGAAACACACAAGAAATGAAATGTAGAATTTGAGGAATTGTTTTTGGACTTTGTCACAAATTTAATCCTTTGGAAGAGAAAGAAGATGAGTTACCAGAATGAAAGAAAGTAAAAAGAGTTGACTTTTAAAAGTCTTTCCTCCTTTATTAATCATCCATTTTTATGATTGCATTTGACAAATGGAATCAGAATGCTTGCTATGTTAATATATGATACATTCTGAAACTTCTAGGTTTTTGTTAGTTAATTTTGATAGATTGCCATTTTAGCTTGGCTACACACAGTAAACATATTCAACTTTCTCAAGGATCCTAAGTCCTTTCTAAAGCTTTTGGCCTTACCTTCTTCACCGGCGTAGGCCAGAATGGACCGTGCTCGTATCTGCTTCCCTTCTGTAGTTTTTCCCGAGCAGGTATGAGAGCAGGAGGACCAGCTGGACCATGCACTGAGCACACAGTCCTTCGGGCACGGGACATCACAGGCCACAGGGATGGGCAGGATGGCATCTCTGCATAGCTGTCTTTCCACTTCCTTTCCTAGAAGAAACGTGATTACCGATGGTGTACGATGGTACAGCTATGTAAAATGAGCTGTTGACTCCAGATTGGTACCTAAATGAATTAGCTTACTTCAACTTTGATTTAAAAACAAAGGCAAAAAGATCGCCTTACCATTGTCAGATGTTAAAAGCACATCAGGAACAAACATTGATTGTACGTGGGTATATGCCCATGTCCCTAAATGAAAGAGGTTTCTTTTATTATTACAACCATAGGGTATAGGTCTAGCATATTACAGAAAATATTTTTATACTAGACATACCTGCCAGTGAGGTGCCTTTCCTATTTATTAAGTTGCAGCAGTGAAATATGTCCTCCTTTTTATTTTTAAGTGAAGATAAGCCATGATTGATAAATAAATAATAAATCTATCCATGGCATGCGTTGTTTTCATGAATTAATTCTATACTTTGTGTTTACCATAGAAGGTACTTTTGTACAATTTTAACAACTTTAGCTTTTTAATTGGAAGTGGCCAAAGTTCAAACAATAAGATAGCATTAAAAAGCTACTGCTTAAGGGGTGAAATAGGGAGGGAGAGAGAAAAAGATAAGATAAATTATGAATAGAAGAAAGATGGTGTCACTCCAGGACCTAAAAATCATCAACAGTCTCCTTTAGCTCTTCAGGAAAGATCTTATTTTTTAAGTTTATAAGAACTCAAATAACCTGGCTTTGGTCACCTTCCTTCTGCCCCAAAGCTGTGGAAATTGTCAAAATTTTGACACTCACTTAGTATTTGCCAAAATAATGAAATAAGATATACAAAAGTCCTATGAAAAAGAAAACATTGCTGTTAATAAATGCAAAAGTTTACCAAAAGAATTATAAATAGAAGAAAAAAAGAGTAAAACCCTGGTAAGAAGACTGAACTTTATTGGCTAACTGGCTTAATAGTTTAAATAGAATGCTAATGAGGTAAATAGAATAGAATCAAATATTATATACACACTAAACAAGCAAAAATTATCATGCTATCTTGCCACAGAATAAAAGAATTCTTTATTAGTATGTTAAAATTATGAGCCTTGCAGTTGGTGTGATAAGGAGTTACTCATAGCGCCATTCCTTACAGCTAACAGACAACTCCTAGTGCTTCCCACTGATGGAGAGTTACAGCAGCATTTTAATGTACACCTCCTTATTCATATGTGTGAAGACAGGAAGTCAGAAGTCAATTGAAAATGTTCTAATATGTTAATAGCTACTAGCTTGTAGGGCCTTTCATCACTAGACAAAAATCAAGTCAATTGAAATACACTTACATGTTAATAGCCACTAGTAAGGTCTTAAATCATTAGGCTTCCTCAGCAGTAAAGTAAAGAAGGCTCATTAACATTCAGGATAATGTTCAGTTTTCTTTGTTACTCTGATCTCTTAAATTCTGCCTTTATTTACTTTGGTGTTTGGCATTATTCCAATAAACCAGTGTGACAGACAGATATATGCAGACAGTACAAAAAAACCAGTATTATATGTGTCAGCTCATATTTTATAATTTGTATAGTAATAGCAACTAATTTTTTTAACAAAGTGAAATTTATTAATAACTTAATGAACAGAAGGGATAGAAGTCCATCTCAGGCAGCAGCATCAGAAGATTCCTAAATTAAGAGACTAGAGGAAGAAGTTATATATTACACTAGTCACAGAAATGTATGTGAGCTATGTCAATAGCTAGTAACACATCAGAAGTCAGTTAAAAAACAGTGCAGTATCATCAGTGCCTAGCACGAGATGCTCAGCTGACTATTTCAGGACCTTACCAGGTAAGGTTTGGAATCCTAGAATCATTTGGTGGGCAAGATGGTGGTTATCACCAAGATGCAAAGCTAAAAGATTCTAAGGTTCTTCTCCCTTATATACAGATATAATTAATTACAGAGTTCATTTTTACATTGATGGTAAAGATTAAACTGAAACTTATGGTTAAAATATTATATATTTTTCTTTCTTAAATTTATTTGCTAGATATTTTCAACCTTCCGATGACTTTGGGTTCTTATTTTCTTGGTGTCCATCATGTCCTTATCCTTCTTTGGATTTTCTGCACATTTCTTGGCACCTCCTGTTACTCTGTTCAGAATCGCTCTCCAAAGCAATTCTTTTGGCTGTATTCTAGCGCTTCTGGATCTCAAACTGAATTTTTGGTCACTTCTTTATCTTTCTGACTCTTTATAGGGATGTCCATGCTTTTCTCCTTTCCATCCTCCTCTGCTCTCTGAATCTGGGAGTTCTTATTCTCTAACTCATTTTTTGACTCAGATTTTCATTAATGCAAAGTGAGTGGCTTGCATATATCTTATTTTCTTCATTGCTACTTTTTTATTGTATTGCTTACTCGCTTTCATTTTTATCTCCAATATTTGGTGGAAAACCAGGAAAGTTTGAGACTGCAATCTACCGTTAATAAGAGTTAATATTTTACATTTTCTCTGAAAGTTACCCAATCATCAGACCTACTGAGGTAAAAAAAAATGTAATTCTTCAGTAATCGAATTTGCGGCAAGTAGGCTATTAGATTAGCTTGTATGTCATTAGTGATGCATTTCTGTTTGTTGTAGGATAAAACAAATGGATGCACAATTTTGACCTATCTTGCTTTTCAAATCAGTGTCTTTTTCCCAAGTTTTCCCCATACTGAAGCATAGCATTTTTTCAGTCATCCTGCTCCGTGCAGACAGATGTATTTTCTTTCTTTCTTTTTTTAATTTTTTTTTGTCTTTTTTCTTTTTATCGGTATCAGGGATCAAACTCACGACTACCTGCTTGCAAGGCAGGCTCTTATGCCACTGAGCTAAATCCCCAGCCCCCCAGATGTATTTTCTTATAGACACATTCCTTCACCCAGAACACATTCTTTAACCCTCTGTGGTGGTGTTAAGACCATCTTATAACCATGTGTTGAGATTTTTCCTGATGAAGATGATTTTGCAGTGATTTCTGTACTCTCTTTCACTTGGCAAGGTATGAACTTTTCTCTCGGTTTCTTTGCTCTCCTGGCCAGAAATATCTTATATTCACATTAAAGCATTATGTTCTAGTCACAGTAGCTTTACTCCGTTTCCTCCCAGAAAAGCTCACTGCTGTCTCTAGGATTTATGTTCTCCATAAGATTTCTTTTCATTCTGTGTGGACACTTTAGATCTTACACAGCAGCCTGATTCTCAATGTTTCAGTTTCAGTTTAACATTTTCCTACCTAGAAGGGATTTCTTTGGCTATTCATATTCTCATAAAAACTGATTTATTTCAGTTAGAGTTTGAATTACCACTGGAACACATTTTGATAAATTGTTTATGCATTTATTGTCTCACTCTATCATTGGATTAAATGAAGATACAACCCTTATTTGTCTCACTACTTTATACTTAAAACTGAGAACAGCAGCTGGTGCATAGCAGGCACTAAACTTTTTTTATCCTTAAATAAATGAATGAATGAATGGATTTTACACTGTTGTGCCAGCAGGCAGAATGTTGGTTTAGATACAGGACCAAGTACTGTATTTCAAGGTACTGTATTTCTTATACTGTCACACATTCAAAAGCTCTAGGACTTGGCTAAGTACACTCACTGTGCACAGGCAGTATGTGGAGCACTTGGTTTGGTCAAGAGGAAATACAGCTTCTTAGATCTCACTCATGAAAGTATAATTTGCATTTAAAAATCTGTGGGTGATTTGTATGCATATAAAAGTTTCAGATATATTTTTCTAGGCTTTTTTTTTTTCTTTTGCATGTGCTGTTCATGGCTAGGATAGAAGCAGATGGCCTCTTGAGAGCCAGCTGTGTGAAACAATGTCATCTGGATTTCACTTCTCTATAGGATGTTGTTTTGCATTCCTCTGCAACAGAGTACAGTACCTACAATGCTGAGAACATTCATGCATCTAACAATTACTGAACACACATCTTTCGTCAGGTTCTACATGATAAATTTTGTATATATCAGCTCAGTTAGCTCTCACAGTAACATTCTGAAATTATTATTACCATTAATTCATTCATTTTCTGGTCCTGAAGATTGAAACCAGGGCCCTAGGCATGCTAAGCACATGCATTTCAGCTGAACTACACTTCCAATCTCAGTTTCTATTTTTTTTCTTTAAAGAACACTGAGACCTCTTGGAAACAGCCCAAATAAAAAATAATAATAATAATAATAAAAGAACACTGAGATCAACACATTTAACCTACCAATCTTAAAGAGCAGAAGTTTCACTAAAGGAATTCACCAATTTATTTTTCTTTGTTTATATTTTCTTTTTTTGGGGGGTGGTATTGGGAATCGAACTCATGATCTTGTGCTTGCCAGGCAGGTGCTGTACCATTGAGCTATATCCCTGGCCTTTCAATCTACTTTTTTTTTTAAAAAAAATTTTGTCACTATGTGTAAGTATCTTTCTTTGTACTGCTGGTTTTTTATTAGTGCATGTTTGTAGGACATACTGTTTACATTTCTTGTGGGTAACTGGTACGTGTACATGATTTATTTTAATTCCTTTTTTTATCACTTCTCCTTCCATCCTGCTCCACTTTACCCATTTTTTGAACCTCTGGCTTTGTTCTAGGTACATGTTTGCTGTACATAACATTCACATTCTTGCAAGCAGTTGGTACACGTACAGAGCATCCTTTATTCATTACTAATCCTTCCCCTCTCTCATCCTCCATCTTTTAGTCCCCTTTCCCTTGAGAAAGATCTATTTCCTTACTTCCTATTAAATGTCTTTTAGTTTGCTTTTTATTTATACTTTGAGTTTCTTATATAAGAAAAACCATGTGATCTACTTTTTAATGAATACGATGGCAGGAAATATTTACAATGCAAAGATAGTTAAAAGAATGATTCTATGTCTATTTTCAAGTAGTTTCACAACAAAGCAATGCATAGTGACAGGCACACACTCATGCCTCATATACCAAGAGAAAGGTCCAAGGTTTTATGTTTTAGCTCAGAAAAACAAGCAAACA